GCAGTTCGCCACTCCGAACAGTAGTGAGCAATCGAAGACTTATCCGATAGGGAAGAGGGCATGTTCAGAGCACCGGTGGACGGTAGACGGTACAGTAGACGAAAAATCGGCAAGGACATAATTTTGCTCTTCGTTTCCAATAATATTTCGTAAAAAGTTTAGCCGATGACGTTCTTATCAATATCAGCGTTAACCGACTTACATATGCATATCTGCGTTGTAATCCGATATGACGGAACTTCCTCTGACATCTTTCTCCTACATATTTTCGCAAAGGTGACGTGTGGTAACCGTGAAAACGATAGTTAACAAGGGCATTTACTGTAGTACGGTACTGGGAACGAAATGAAAGAAAAAAGAAGAAAAGCGAAAGAAAAGCGTAAAAAAGACTTTATCGATCTTTCCACATCCATGGAAGACCATCGCTAATTATGGTAATTTGGATGATGGTGAAGTCGTGATCGACGGAGGGATCCCAGCTGAGATGTTTTCTTAATCGGGTGCTTAAAGGCAACCTCTGGGAAAAAATTGGTGATAAGAGTAGTGATGACTGAGTTGCAGAACGACCTGAAAGGGGAGAGGAACGTAGGACAAATCTTTGGGAACGCTGGAAATAAGGCCTCAAACTCGCAACCTCGAATGTGGTACGATGACGAGACAGTTCGGATCAAAGAAGACAAAACATGCGAGAGATCATGTCGTTCGGAGAGCGCGCTAATCTCGACATCAGTCACGGAGGGTGGGTAGCATTGCAACGGGGGTCGATGGTTGTAGGTCCGTAAGGATTAGCGGCCTAAGCGCGTATTTTTACGATGAAGCTGGGGTGATCTGGACAGGTACGGACCTTACATTTCCCTCGCGGTATCCTTTCCACAAGTGGGGCTAACCCCGGCGGATGCCTTTAAGTGACATTTTTAAAAATTTTTCTTCATATATAGCTTTAAAGCCCAGAGATTGCGGGATTGTACTAAAACTTAAACTTATTATAATGGCACCATACCGATTACTTCTTTTTCAGCTCTGCCACCGATTCCTGAAACTACTGCACCATCTTCGTCTTCATCAGATTACAAAGATGATGGTGATTAGATATCGGACCATTTATGTGGTCTAGGCTCTTACGAATTTAGGGAGTATTCATTTAATGAGATAGATAAATGATGATGAGACTCTTAAATTGTTAAGAAAAACTGAATGATTGACATGTGTCTATAATATCTGTACCACGCATTTTAGTAACATCCCTATTGTACTTTCCCTGTCGACGATCTCATTCAGTGGCCTTCGATGAAGACATATGAGCTTATTTGGATGCATAGATTCGTTTCGTAATTTTGCTCGTATTTTGCACTACAGCACCATCGGTTTCGTTTCTCGGGTTAATAGTAATGGCCTTAGATATCTTGAAACGGGTTGATGATCATAGAATACTATTGTTGCCGCAACAGAAATAAATATTTCCAAAAGAATGCTATGTTCAAAATTATTCATTCATAATATTACAGTTCTTATCAAAAGATATAGAGAAACCAACCTCGAAGGCCGACTTTACAATGAAAATGGGGCCCGGACCGAAATTGAAACGCTTTTTTGCTCGTTAGCTTCCGTATTGGGGCGAGTCTCATCGACAACGACTGACATAATGCTCTGCTCTGCGTCTCTTCCGAACGGCTGGTAATCGCAGCCAGAGTACGATGGCGAGAGTGTGGTAGTGCGTGTAGCGTCTCGAGTGTCACTGGTACAGCCCCACCAGGCAGCTATAAGCATGCCCTTTGCTGCAAAATGCATCGCTCCACACCTTGAGAGGTCCGCCTGCC